AGAGATTAAAAGAATTGTTGAATTAGTGTGATGAGAATAGTGGAGGATAGGGCTATTTATAGGAATTGAAAATAATTCAATTGCCCAAAATACCCTAAAGCCTAGTCGTTTTTAGTTGTTAGGGTATTTTGGTCATTATAAAGTTATTTATCACTTTACCCAAAATGCCCCCTAAACTAGTTATATGACTATTGGGGGGCATTTGTGTCATTCGTTCTCCCCCCAAAACCAAAATTCATAAATACCCCCCTATATAGCTGTTTATAGTTGTTGGAGGGGTATTTCTATAAAAAATAAATAAAACCCAAAAAGCTGAAACTAACTGTTGGGGGGGGGGAGGGATAATTCATCGGGTGGGCCAAGCACAGCCTGCTATGGGCCCGCAGGCCACAGGCTGGACTGTGCATGTCATGCCGGCCTATTGACCTAAAAACTCAGGCCTAGCATGGCCCAGACCATCATGTCGGGACTGACATGACCCACATGCGATCGTGCCATGCCATGCCAGGCCGGTCCCGACCCCATTTACACCACTAATGGTATCAATCAACTTTGTTAGGATCTTTCAAACAAAGGAGTTGATTGAGATTTTATAAATTACCAAGAGAAATTCAAGGTGGTGTGGGTGTATTATTTGGAATTTTGGATACCACATCGTTGCATGACAAACCCGAGACCCCATTGATTTTTGAACACGCCACTGTTTTAATCAAACTGGTCCAAACACTGGCATGGTTAAAAATCACCGGGGGTCTCGGGTTTGTGGACGATGGTTGCAGGAAACAAAATCTCCATTATTTGTGGTCTTTATGGCCAAATCAAGGAATTTTATCTATCGAGGCCATAAAGTTCATAGAGTTGTTCGGACAGGTGGAGTAGAGCATCAACCAAGGTTCAAAAAATTATTATATATCGGTTGATACATATTATATCGAGAACATCCTGATATACCCGTACAAAATGTGTATCAGAATTTTAACCGGTTCAGGAGATGAAAGAATCTTAACCCAGCCCTCTGAGTTCGATACATCTCTACCGACGTATCGAATATATTGATATTTAGAACCTTTACAGTGGTAAAGTTCATATCCGCTTCAGCGGTTCCAAAGGAATCTAGGTTCGGCCTTCACAACAGTACGTAGTAAAGTTCATATTAAATTCTCTGCCGCTTCAGCTGTTCCAAAGGAATATTGATTCGGTCCTCACAACATTTAAAGCCCTACATTGGGAACATCACCCATCATTAAAAAAATAATAGTACCAGATGTTCCAAAATGCATGTCGGCATGTGTTGTAAAGACGTGCGAGGACAAAGTTTGTGAGGACTGAATTTAATCTCCTTGCAAAGTGTAAGTGATATTTCTACAAGCGATTGAAGTGATCCCTGGATAGCCGTGTATGGAAAGTAGCATAATAAGGGCGTTGTGAATATAAAGAAGAGGCATTAAACTACTAAAAAACATTACTGAATGTTAAATTGCAGTTGCTTGGAGGTGATTCAGAAGAGAACTGAGAAAGTTAACGTTCGAGATGCTGCTAAAGGAGGTTGTTCAATGTTTTTAAATCGTCGTTGACCCGGATGATCAGACTGTTCAGCCTGGGAACCGTTCAAACAACTGGTCCGTTTTATCCCAAACTCAATTCCTGGCAAAAAAATCATTGAATCGATCAACGATTTATTGACCCAGGCGATTGAACTGTCAACCAATTCAATGGTTTTTGATCATTTTTTATTTTTAATTAATTTTTATTTTTTTAATTTTGTTGTCAGATGGCCGTTCATTCGAACCGTCAACCCAAAAATCGGTGGCCAAAACGATTCCACTTCCAGGTCATTTTTTAAAACCATGAGGTTGTTCTTTAAGAAATCAAGGAAAGAATCTAGAAGACTAAGAATGAAAAAGCCAAAAGGCAAAGCAAGCAAAAGTGATGCCAAAGGCGTAGAAGACTCAAAGAGCAAATTGCCCAAGTCTGCTAGATCCAAGGGCCCCAAGATTGGAAGTGGTAGTGGAATGCCTTAAGCATATTGTAAATAGTAGAGTGGAAACTAGAAAGTAGCTCTGTTTTTAATGTTGTTAATTTTGTTGTTCCTTAAATCCTGCAAGTTGAATCCAGATGCTGTTAATTTTTTTGCGGTTTAAAAGAAGGCCATGAAGTTCACGGATTCTTTCATGGATACCTTCATGGTGGATACCTTCAAGGAAATACCTAGAGTTTCAAATTCTACACTTCTCGATGTCTTCATGACAGAGCTAGAAGCCAAGACATCAATTTCCTAGTACTTGTAGTTATCAATCAATCCATTTTTTGATTGGATGAATGAATGAATGGATGATTTATTAACTATTTTGGACAAATAGTTAATAATGAACATTACCATAAACATTTCCAATTATGACCAATGAAAATTTACGTCAACTAATCACTATTCCTCAACAATTATAAAAAAAAATCACTATTCCTCAACCTCAGTGGTCCAACAATACTTGATTTCATATGGTTCTCATGACAAAACTTGATGGTAAAAGATGAGTCCGCATCTCCGCCCCACACAATGTGCGACTGCCACATGTTCAATCGCACATGGTGGGGTGTTTCTACATGCGGGGTTAATGGGACGGCCGTTAACTCATCCCGTTAGCCCAAAACAAGCCCAAACCTCTTTTTTCCTATATTTCCGCCCCCACAACCTCAAATCAACGTTTTAAAAATCGACCCCTTTTAATCCCTTACTTGACAGACCAACGAACAGAAGAATTGTTTAATATAAGAATTGATGATTACAGTGAGAGATGACAATTGGGTAACAATTCTGTTCATCACTTTCAGCTTCTCCATTGTAGTTGATTGATTGGTGGAAGGTGACTCCATCATTAATGTTCGGCTACGTTTGGAAGGAGTACAAATCATGGTTTTTAAAACCGGACTGAACCAGACGGGCGAACCAGAAAAACCAAGAACTAGTTAGGTGACCGGTTTCATTTTTCCAAAAAAAACTGGATTTTTTCTAAAAATTGTTGATTTTGGTCAGCAAATTGCCGACCCGGGCGATTAACCATTCGAACCGTTTTGACTGTTTTTATTTTTTTGTTAGAACAAACTAACCATTCGACTTGAGAACCGAATCCCTAACTGGGTTCGCTTGAGTCGRTTTTAAAAACCTTGGTACAAATGCAAATATGTAGAGTGCAAAACCTTCTATTTTGTATTATTTTGTATGTATTTATATTGTACATATTTGCATTTGTACTCTTTCCAAACTAAGCCTTTGGTGATCAGAGTGGTGGGTTAACAGTGGTTCAATGGTGTTCTAGTATAACTACATTGGTGAACAGCAGCGGTGGTGGTTGCGGTGAGAGATAACACTGCATGGTGGGAGAAGGGTTGACAAGGGTGGAAATGAAGAAGTTGCAAGGGACGACAACTCTATGTTTGCATGGTTGTAGATTGAGAAAATGGTGGGCTACAGTAAGGATAGGTGGTGATGGAAAATGGAGACAATTGTAGCAAGCATTATGCAACCTACAAGAATATAGGGGAGAGAGGGAGAGAGAAATGGGGAGTGACTGAAGGTGGCGAATGATGGACAGTAGGGGAGAAGAAGGTGTAATTGCGACGGTGCCGGTTGAGGCAGAGAATAGCAACCGGAGAGATGGAGAATAAGTAGTTCATTAGAGAGAGAGTAAGAATGGTCGAGATGGTAACGGGACCAGTTTGGTTGGTGGAGATGAACGGAGTAGAAAAAAGAGGCGTGGAGTGACTATGAGCAAAAGATAGCAGAGAGAATAGGGAAATAGAGAGAAAAATAATGGGAAAGGTAGCAACAGGAGGAAAGAATGGGTGGAACTGCGTCCTGTGGCCATGGCCAAAGAAGATGATGGCGTCGGCAATGAAAGGAATGAAGTGAGGACGAAGTAGGGATAGAAAAGAGACAACACCGGAGGGTGCTTGACGCCAGAGGTGAAGAAAGAAAGTTGGAAAATGGGAAGACAAAGGGACGACAAAATGCTCTTTCATCTGCCACGATTTCTTTTTAATGAAAGAGAGACAACTGTTATCAGCCATGGTGTCCATCCATTAAGAAAGTGACACCTGTTACAGAGAAACTTTCTCATTACACGAAAGATTAGCCATAGAAGRAAATCATAGAGTTCACTAACAGCCGTCCCATTAGCCCCACAGGGAACCCCACCGCGTGTGATTGGACATGTGACAGTAAAACGTTGTTTGGGGGCGTTCCAGCGTTTGTGGGGCGGAGATGCGAACTCGTAAAAGAGCTATTGTACTTGGGCTGCAATTTAGTAAGGAATCCTTCACAAGAAAAGTTGTTATAATGAGTGAACTGGTGTCAGATGGGACTTGACCAATGCAAAAACAAAAACTTAGATGAGATTTAATGGCTACGTAGCATGTCCCATATCCCAATCATGAATCTACAAAGAGTAAAAGTAAAATGAGAATACACACCGAGTAGCGGATCTTTTTATGACATTTTGATATGAACTGATAGTCTGATAGACTGATTCCAAATATAATCGCTTTCTACACGCAAATAAACATTATAACTTGGGGCGTTTTTTTTTCTGGATTTTGAGAGAAGAAAAGCTGGTCAATAAGATTTTGATTCCATTGACCAAGAATTCCATATTACTTTTTTAGATTTATGTGAAGACGGATAAAGTTTATTTTCCTGGGTATCACTTATTCCAAGGCAAATAAATAACTTTCTCACCTTAGGAAAAAGTTGCCAACACTTGAAAGGGACAAAAATACTCCTTATAATAATGAATTTTTATGGATAAAATGGCCATTCCTTTATTTACATGGAAAATAAAAAAATGAGTAAATGCACTTACCGGGATAAATCTTTCCTAGAAAACAATTACCTGGGTAAGTGTATTTACCTAGGTAAGTAGCTTACCAAAATGCGAAGGGGGCCTTAGTTGAGGTTACACTCCAGAAAAAGGCCAATGTGTTAATTAAGGGATTTTCCTTGTCTTAGTTTTATTTTTTATGATGATTGGATAGATTTATATATTTTTCTTTGGTAGATATGAGTTTGAGTTTTCTGTTGAACTCTACAGTTAAAAAAAAATTGATGGTTCATGATGATCTTGATGCTTTAAGTCTCAAGGTTTTTGCCTCCTGCATTTGGAGGTCTTTGGTGTGTTTGAAGTGTTCATACATGTCATAATAGAAATAGCTGCTTAAGTAATTAATAATATATCACTACCATCTGCAAATAACTGAAGCAATTACTAACTGGTAGATATTAGATTATTATTTAAACACTATGAAACCAAGTAAGAAAAATCTCTCTCACACACACATACATTCAGTATGAGCTTATTTAAGGTACTGCTGAAGTGTTCATACATGTATGTAGCCTGCACGACAAAATATCATGCTTAGGTAGTGGGTAGCCTATATGTTGCATCTATATCTCTTGCAGCCTGTCATTGTCAGTAGAAGGTACCATGAACAACATATTCCTCCATTGTAAATACTAGACAGAATCAATATTTATGAAATCAGAGAAAGTTTTCTATGCTTCAAGTATGAACTATAGACCTCCCACTCTCCCAGGATTAGCATGTAGATAATTGGAAGCAATATCCTATGCTTTGAAGTTCAAACTTATGAAATCAGAGGGTGGAGTTGAAAAGCTATTTGGCTCCTGCTAAAAGATATCTTAAATGGGACCAATAAAATGGTGGTTTAATAATATAGTTCCTTTGCAATTTTCCTGCCTGTAGCATCTCAGCTTTTATAGATTGCAACTATTGCAACTAAGACTTTGAACTTGTTTATAACTTCATAGTTTTCTCTATATATTGTAAATAAGACTAGGTAGTTATTTCCTTTTAGTTTTGGCTTTGTAAAAGCAATGCCCTTCTTCCATTTGCACTTCTCAAAGCGTACAAAATGATTTGTACAGATCCCAGTTGATGGTGAAGACAACCTGCGAGAATGGAATCATGTCATAGAATATCATGGAAAAGTCCTGCTGAATTCTCTTAAAATGGAAGCAGAGGAGCCGAAGCCCCAGCTAGAGCTAGAACTGACAACCACCCTCTTGTAGATCACTATGTTTTGGGTTCCAGTCCATGAAAACCTTGTCACATGTTAAATATAAGCCTTTATTTGTGAACATTTTTAAATTAAAAGATTCACAAATTTGAATGACTTGTATGTCTGGGAAAAACTCCTAGGTGTGAGTGCTGTAAATGATGCTTTTGCTTGTCACACTCTTGTGAATATATTAACTTGAAAATCTAATACCATTCATGAATTTTCTTTTGCATGAAAAGTGCTTTGTGTCTTCTGAAGTTCTTTTGATTTTCTAGGTTGAGAACATGAGCAATGATGTTGTATCAGAGGTTCTATTGGCATTTCCTGATTACAAGGCCAAAAACTTGGCATATTTAAAAGTAGCAGCTAATGAAGGAAAAGGGAGATCCAAAACTTCTGCTAGGCTCTGTTAAAATTGTCCATCCTGAAGGAATGCCTCCAGCTTTGACTCTGTACTCAGTGACTTTACCCAAGGGATTGGGTAAGAAGGAAAGATTCACTTTGGACATTTTGGCTGTGTTAACCCATTCGTTGCAACCATTCCCTGAGGAGATTACCCAGGCTGATGCACAGCTTGTCATGTTCCAAGATGGTGCTTACTATCAATCTCCTTATGAAACCAAGTCTAGTCACTCAGTGTTGTACTGACTAATGCAAGATATAAATTTTATACAAAAATTCATAACACCAAGCTTGTAGGTTCAGAGATCAGATATGGACCCTATGAGAATCATCTTCCCTTCTCATATTCACCTATAGTTGCTCATTTTGAGAATAATCAACCCTTTGTGGTTGCTCAATAATTGGTGAGAAAGATAGAAATTTCTCATTGGGAAAACGTAAAGTTCATAGAGGAGTAAAGGACTATGACATTCCCCTCTTGGCCAAGATTTAATGGGAGCAAGAAAGCAAAAATCTTGTGCAGCTGCATCCCTTTTGCAGTCTGCTGGATTTTATGGAATGAGAGAAATAGAAGACTATTTGAGAACAAACAGAAGAACATCAGAAGGATGTTAGCCATGGTTTTCAAAACCGGACCGGACCGGACGGTCAGACCGGAAAAACCGGGAACTGGTCAGGTGACCGGTTCCGGTTTTCCTCAAAACCAGATTTTCCATAAAAAACATTGATTTTGGACAGCAAACCGCTGACCCAGGCAGTTAACCGTTTGAACGGTTTTGACCGGTTTTCATTTTTTTCTATTTTTTTTTATTTATTTTGTCAGAACGGGCCAACCGTTTGACCTGGTAACCGGACCCCGGACCGGTTCAGTCTCCAGTTTGGTTTTAAAAACCATGATGTTAGCTATGGTTGAAAATTTGGTGTCCGATTGGATTCTGGTGCATCCAGACTTCCATCAGATTATCAGAGCAGAGTTGGGGAAGAATTTTTGGAATTTTCTTGAGGCTCAGTTTGGAAGGTTTTGCACTCTGCATATTTGCATTTGTACTCCTTCCAAACTCAGCCTGAGTTACATGCTTGTAATCTTTATCAGTTCCTTGTATCTTGATTGAATTATTGTAGTGTAAACTACATATGTGTGTAAGGCTGTGACTGGGTGTCAGTGTCATCTTAACACTCCCCGGGTTGTATGAATCTTTTTTCTTTTAATGAAATTTTTTTATTCTGATTCTTCAAAAAAAAAGTATTTCCTCGGGAGTTTAATGTATCTCTACTGTTCAAGATGGAAATTGGAAACATAGTGTGATTTAAATCTTTGCACTCCATTTATGTTTTATGTTGCAGGGTTGACTATCAAGCCAGACCTCTTGGAACATTAACAACCGTAAGGAACTATTTGGGCAGGAAGAAATAGACATTTAAAACCCTACATCAATGGAATATGAAAAAAAAAATGAGCAATGGCAATTGATTGTACCTGAACACAGTGAAGAACAACGAGTATTTAATCTCCTACAAGACAAAAATCTCAATTAATACCTTTGAAGAGAGAAGAAATACATGGAATGATGAAGAAAAATGGAAGGAAGAAAAGGAGAACAAAATACCTATGTCGATGCTTCTTGATCACTGGGAGCAGAGTTTCTCTCAGTCAAAAGTGGAGAATGAAGGGGGTTTCAATCAACCCCTTTTTGAATTGTTTTACCAAACGTGTGGCTCTTTGCACACGTATCAGGAAGCTGAGAWGGACCGAATAGACCATAAGCTTCACTTGAAGCTTCTCGGATTTAGACTACTTTGGGCTTTTAAAGTCTCTTTTTATGTATCATATTCTGGTCTATTGAGATTTCATGAGCCAAATGGGAAAAGGCCATTGTTTGAGCTAGTGGGCTTCTGAAAGCTCACTATATCTTCCGAAAAGACTTGCCAAAAAGGGTCAAAATCTTTACACAATTGGCTTGCAAAAAAACTGTTCTTCTACCTACCCTTGGATGTTTTGTCATAGTTTAGCAATTCTTGTCACAATATTATTTTTCCTGTTTCCTGAAAAATCTTGCAAGCATTACATATAACAAAGGTTAGAAACAACCTGGTTGAAGATCTTATTATTACAAGCCTGTAATATTTGCCAAGAACTTTCATTTTAAAGGGATAGTTCTTCAACCTTGGAAGGTTTATTTGCCCATTCTATATCTAACCACCCCTTTATTCAATTAACCACATTCTGATTTGAGAATTCCACCAATTTGAGACTAAGAGAACATCCAAACCACACACATCTTGCAAACTTGCACCTACAGGGGTGAGAATTCGGTTTATTTGGTTAAAAACCGAACCAAATAAACCAAAATTTTAAAAACCAAACTAAAGAACCTAAAAACTGAACCAAAACCTAATTATAGAAAAACCAAAGTTTTCGGTTAAAACTGAATTTTAATAATATATACTCTATTATATGTTATATCTTACATATTATATATAAAAATAGAAAGTTCAGTTAATTTGGTTAACCGAATTTCTAATTCTAAAAACCGAATTAACCGAACCGATTTAACCAAAAACCGAAAACCAAAATTTTTTGTTTGGTTTTTTGGTTTTAACCAAATAGTGCTCGCCCCTAACCTATACATGGCATTTTCATCGCTTTTGAAGGGCTGTGGACAACTTTTCTCTTGAAGAAATTTGCAAATAACTGAACAAATTTGAGACCAAGAGATAAAGAGTACAAAATTCTAAACCCTCATGGTTCCTTATAGATGGCAGTTTAACATGATCATGATGATTCAAGCCCAAGAAGTTGAAGGCTTAGGAGCTTGCTGAATGGCATAGTTGTCAAGGCGACAAGGCACCCTTTGAGGCTTGCCTCACCTAATCACCAAGCAGTTTTGTACTATGTATTAATACTTTTTTATTCTTTATTTTTTGACATTATAATTACAAAATAGGCACTATTAAACTAAAATATTCATTTTGTATGTTTATATACTAATTTCTTTTTATTATTTTCTTATTTGTTAGGCTTTAATCAATACAAACATTGTTAAATGCTGTATTGAACCCACAAAGACTTTAAAACCAGAACCAATAAGAACTTAAAATTTTGTTTAATCAACACATTTTCTACTACTACTGCTTTTTCTTTTCTTCTTTTCCTATAACAAAAATAAGGGTTCAGCCCCTATATTTTTTTTTAATTTTCTTTTCCTTCTTTTTTTTCTTCTCATTAATATGTTGATTTTCTATACTTTAACATGAACTCTATACTTTTCTTATAAAAATTATGAATAATTATTAAGGAAATATGATTATGGTACCTAGGGAACTACCCTAGTATCTATGTTTTCTACATAAAAAAAAAAATCCATCGCCTAGGCGACTAGGTGACAAGGCAACCCCCTGTCGCCTAGCCTCTCCTTGGCACCTTGAAAACTATGCTGAATGGTCACATGAATCTTTTCCTTTCAATAATAGTCATACAAATCTTTTTCTTATGATTAACTGCAACATTTTATTAAGAAATCGAAGAACAAATTATATACAGAGTATGCCAAGCATCATAATAAAATGTAGGACTAACCTACCCCCAGATTTAATTACATTACACTTGTGTCCAATAGTTGAGATATGATCACCACTTGCTTGGCCAAATCGAAGAACCAATGAAAAGCCTCTTCCATTTCTGCTGGCTAAGTGCTTTACCTCCCTCGTGACATGTCGATAATGCGCCAAAGTCCTTCACTATTTCCTTTCACCCACCCCACCACCAACTTGGAATCCCCTTCTACCACTACACTCTTAAATCCCAATGACCTCCCCAATCACAATCCTTGCAATGATGCCAATAATTCAGCTCTAACAGAATTCTCATGATCGATTGGCCCTGAGTGCTAGGATTTCTCATTCTTCAAAGTTCAACTTAGTTTGGTTTCTTCTTGGTGGTACCGTTGAATTTGACCTCTTCTTGCTGTAGATGTGTTAGCCCCCCGGTCATCTTCTCAAAATATCATCCGTAGAGAAGGGTGCAAGCATATCCAATGTCTTGACCCAATGCACAACCTCAACCACAACATTCCTGATAATGGTCATATGAATCTTCCACTTCAATACATACTCTCAGATTACTGAACTTTTTTTTTCTGATATACCAACTTAAGGCAAACTATAGATTATTGTAATAGGAGCTTCAACAGAAATGGTCCAAGTTCAGTGAAATGATTCAGACCTAGCTAATAGTTGTCTATTGCTAAATATATTCAGAACAGCAATCTTACATGTCCAAGTTTTGTTTCTTAGTTGATTAAGAAGTTAAGGATCAACTGGAGCAATCTAATAATACTACTCATAGGGTCGCCAGACTAGTTTATTACCTTCTCTATTTTATTCATAGAAAAAATAAATATATTAATTGAAAAAATCAGCAAATTACAAACAAGAATTTCATAAAAGGAAAAAAAAACATACTGCCATAGTCCCATTGAATCAGAAACACAGATAAAGAAATGCATAAAGAACAAAGCATGAAAAAAAGATACGTTAATATCATTGACAAAAGCTTACAAAGAAGCAGTATATATTAATCATCAAAGATCAATCGACGATCAGATACTATAAAAAGTAAAATCATAAACGGAAAAATTGACAATTTTATGAGAATTGAGGAAAACCACCTTTAGTTTTTGTTACACAATGGACAAAATTGTATGCATTCCAAACAAGTTTATGTTTCTTTTTCCATCCATTGACTAAAAAAGCAGTGATACTAAGGTAAACCACAGTTCTCCAATAAAAAATTTTCTCCCTCACTGCTAAGCAAATCTGAAGGAAGTGAAGCAGGATCAAGCTCCCAACAGTCTTTTGGTAGGTCTGGGGACTCCTTACCTGAAATCTTCCTTGCTGGAATCTGGTGCGAGAACAAATGGATATCATCTTTCTCAAGCCATCTAATGGCATGACACCCAATCTCTCGCCTCTTAAAGATTGTCTTAAACCCTTCAACCTTTTCAAGGTAGGCCATGCTCAGCCCATGCATCTCACTGTAACTTGTGAGAAATATAACAATGCTGTAATATCGCTTGTCCAAAGGCAACATGTTCCCTTCACTCCCACCAAAAACTCCATCATTATAAACTGCCCATATTGAACCCTTTTTAGGGTATATCCTGTAAATTTCCTTTGCCGCTCTTTCGCACTCCACAAGATGAGAAAAGATATTCACAGAACCAATGGAATCCTTCCTGGAAACCTTGAATCTTCCACATGAGGTATGGAAATCCAATTTCCCCCAACAATTCAAAGCTCCATCTCCATTACTCTGCAGATCTAACCAACTCATCTTTACCTCAAAAGGATTCACTGACACAACTTCATCAATCAGGCCATAATGTCGAGGCATTCCATCATCGTCATCATAAACAGCCCATACCTGACCTTTTTTAAAACTGCGCTCTGTCCTGTCCTTGTCAAAATCATAGAAATCTGAATCATCCACTGCCATTATTTCCAAATTGCTGCTCTTCAAGCACAAAGATCTACTCTTTGCTTTTGCATTGTCCTCCTTATCTTTATTTTTGGTCTTTCCCTTTGTCTTCATCTTTTCACCATGTACTTTTCGCTTTGTTCTAGTTTCAATACCACGAGTATGAGAATCCTCTGGTGTTGTACTTTCTGAAGCACCACTACTCAAAGACATGCTTCTCACCTTTGCCTTTGCTTTCTCCTTCTTGTCTTTCTCTTTTTTCTTCATGTTCTCTTCATGAACTTTCCGCTTTGTCCTAGTTTCAATATCACAAGTATGAGAATCCTCTGGTGTCATACTTTCCAAAGCACCACTCTTTAAAGACATGCTTCTCACCTTTGCCTTTGCATTCTCTTCCTTGTCTTTCTCATTTTTCTTCATGTTCTCCTCATGGACTTTCCGCTTCGATCTGGTTTGAATATCATAGGAATCAGAATCGACTTGTGTTATAATTTCCAGATCACTACCCTTTGAACCCACATCTTTTCCCTTCCCTTTTGTCCAATTCTTCTCTTTCTCCTTCTCCTCTGACTTATCCTTCTCTGTCTCTTTCTCCTTCGCCTTGGTCTGCTCTTTCTCCTTCTTATCTTTCCTCTGTGTCTTTCCCTCCAACTTCAACTTTTCTATATGGGCTTTCCGTTTCATAGCACTAAGTTCAATATCAGAGAAATCCGATTGCTCTGTTTTTAGCATTTCCAAATCTGTATTCCTTGACCCCGCAGCCCTGCCTTTCACGTTGTTATCCTTCTCCTCTGACTTGTCCTTCAACTTCATCCTTTCCTCTTGGGTTTTCCTCTTAACCACCAATTGCATTTCCGCCAAAGTCATTTCGCCCCTGGTTTTTGGTTTTTTAGGACTGGGAGACTCTAGTATTTTATCGCCAACACTAATTTTCCGCTTCTCACTTCCGCGTCCCACCCTTTCAGAAGAAACCTTCCTCTCAATCTCCTTCTCTTTCTTCTGCTTCTGTGAAGAAGAAACCCTGGCACTAGTCCTAGTCCTAACCCTACTAGCGTCGACTTCCACATCTTCCTCCGCTTCACCAACAGGAGTAACTTCAACAGCCAAAAAGCTCTTCCTACAGCTAGGGCAAACAAGACTATGCCCAACATACCGCCTCTCGAATTGATGAAACAACCTGCAAGTGGAGCAAGCAGTCCAGAAAGTCCCAACTGTCTTCTCCGTTGCCGCTGCTTCCGTCGTCGCTGCGGCCTCCCGCAACTGTAACGCCATGCGAAGCTTAAGATCGTACTCCTTTCGCTTAACTTTGTCGGAGAGGACACGAAAGGCTTCGCCAACACGTTTGAAGGCCTCTTCGGAGGCAATGCATGAACTCTTGTCGGGATGCAAAATTAGGGCGAGCTTCTTGTACTGTTTCTTAATTGAGTTAATGTGAGAGAAAGGCTCTACCTGGAGGATCCTGTACCAGTCGACAGGGGGAGCTTCGTCGTCGTCGTCGTCGTCGTCGGAGGCTTTCTTGGAGGAGACGACGCGGAGAATTTGTAAAGCGGTGATCATTTCGTCGATGCCGTTGAGGTGAGGACAGAGGCGCTGGGCTCTCCTGGCGTATTTTAGCGCGGACTTGGGGTTGGAGAGCTGGTACTTCTCATCTGCTAGGGTTTTCAGTTTCAGAGCCTCTGCTTTTATGGTTTCTTCCTCTTCTTCTTCTTCTTCTTCTTTATCTTCTTCTGTTGTTTTCCTGGCCATTGTTTGTTCAGCAGAGCGATAGGCAAAGAGGAGAGTGAGGGCTAAAGGAAGGAAGTGAGGACGGGAGGGAAAGACCAAAAATGTCGCACGGTTGCACCACCGAGGCAATATCGACTTATCGAGGGCATTTTCGGTAGGAAAGGGAATATGAACTTGTGGGAATCGGAAATCCATCTTGGCCATGATCTAACAAGTAACAAGAGTTATGTTTTGCCGAGTTCCGGCTCCCCACAAAACGCGCCCTACATACACATCCAACCGTGTATCGGAAATATCTTCCGTATTTGTGACGAAAATGTTCCAAATACACGATTGGATGTGCATGTAGGTGGAAAGCCCGAAGCCCATGTAAATTCTGTTTTGCCCAGGTTGAGCCACCAACATGAAAACCCACAAAGGCCTAACAAAGACAATTGCTTCCGTAGCATAGTGGTAGTGCGTTCGCTTCGTAAGCGAAAGGTCGCGAGTTCGATCCTCGCCGGGAGCTTTCATTTCAGGTAAATTATAAAGACCTCCCTTTCTTTTGTGATAAAGACCCCACTTACTATGACGTGAGACAAGTTGGCTTTATTTTTTAATCCCTATCCTTGTAATAACCATTGACAATTGGGAGAAAAACCAATTCATCTTCCCCGACTTCGTAATACATGAACAACAGCGGCGGCATGAAAAGTAGATAGAGAGGTCAGGGCAACCTTGTTAGACCCGACATGGATGGATGGCGATTGCCATGCACCAACGCCTAGTCTAAACTGATAAACTCCTACCAAGCTGAGAATAGATCACACAGATCACCACTTATTCTGTCTAAAGGAGAAAATTCCATTCACCCTGGCTCTCGGGGATTTCAGTTCTGCAAGTCTCTCTCTCTCTAAACCAAAGATAGATTAAAACTAAATAATTTAAAAAAGAAAAAGAAGAGAAAAGGGGAAGAATTGTAATTTCTTCTACGGACGAGAGGAACAGAAAACAGAGGAAAGCAAGAAGAAGAAAGGGGAGGAGAGAAAGGGGAAGGAGAAGAAGAGAGATCAGGGGGAGAGAGAGAGGGAGAAATGTGAAGGAATATGAGGTAGAAGGGATTACTGCCGCTGTTGTTTGTGTATCTTGAGGTCGGGGAAGATGAATAATGTTTTTCTCCCAATTGTTATTATAAGGGTAGTATGGGGATTAAAAAATATTGCAATGGTGGATTTCAACAGAAAGCTAACGGAAGGGGGTCTTTGTCTCACGGTCATAATACAAGGGGGGTCTTTGTCRCAAACAAAGTATAGGGGGGTCCTTGTCACAAGCTCCATAGTATAGGGAGGTCTTTGTAATTTACCCTATATTTTATAAGAAAGGTAAATTGTGATAAGTACCATGTAATTTAGGATAGTATCTGTCGACTCATGGCTGAGATGGTCTTAAGAGACATATAGCCGCCCAGTCATCCCGACCACGTCGGCATAGCTCGGCAAACTCTGTGATACACACTGACTTCGTGGCCTCGACCAGGCTACGTTATTACTGTGTCCCCCCATCTTATCCTTTCAGCCACATCAACCACACATCACGTGGATAAGCACAATTGCGGATAAGAGGAGAGAGGAAGACAACTCCATCGGGGAATAGGACCCTATCCCAAGGACCTTGGTAGTTAACCTCATCCTAGCAACCTCGGAAGCCCAATCCGACCAGGACACGGATCTTCGACTATAAAGAGGTATTTCCCCGCTCAAGCTAAGGGATCCAATTTCTGAGACCCATACTGTTACTCTTCTCGGACTAGCACCCTTATTGCTCGGCCCAACCGTCCACTACCTTCCATTGACTTGAGTGTCGGAGTGCCTACCCGAGGACAAATCCTCGAGCCTCTGACTTCCTTTCTTGATCACAGGTCTTGAATCGTGGCCTCGTCCTTCCACCTCGACACCGCCCTGTTGGCAAGGACTATCCGACTGCCTTCCTTGGTTTGTGCACTACCTCGGATCGAATAGCATCAGATTGGCGCCGTCTCTGGGAAATTTCCCAAAATCTTTCCTTCCTCACCGTGCAATCAAGAAAATGATCAAGATGCCCAAGAACCAGTCCGAATGATCAACAAGTTGATCCCCATCTCGGGAATCTCGGCATCGCAACCCTCGACACCAAGAAATCCTGCAGCCTCCAGCTGCGGTTGATCTTGCAGAGTTCTGAGCAATGCAAGAGAAGGTCGATAAGATCTTCGAGATGATGCAGACGCTAGGATCCGCGACACCACCCAACCGGGCCGTCCCCCCTCACACTCCGATGCGTACAAAGGACGATCCTCACCCCGAGGACCCCAAAACGTGTCGGCCGAAAAATAGGGGAGCGTGGTCCGACCATGAGAAGCAAGACACGACGAGGAAGTCCGCCTCCACGGCCCGCTCTCGCGAGCCCGACAACTGCAGTAGGATGCACCAAACCCCGTGGATCCCCGCCCAAGAGAGGCTCAGCAGGCGGACGCCACCTCGCGTGGTCTCGTCGAGTCCAGCTAGGTGAAAGATCGTTCAGCACAGCCCAAGAAGGAGAAAGTTGTGCGTACCACGGTCCCGAATAACAGGGATGCAAAAATCCGAGACATTCGGCAACGTTTGGAAGAGTTGGAGCGCAGCCAAGGCTAGAGAAGCACGACACTTGCTATAGATCAGCCAGTTGCACCAGCCGCCAAGGAATCACCATTCACCCAAGAGATTGTGGACGAGGTGCCTACCACAGGCACCTCAGCTCAACAAGTATGACGAGAATACTGATCCCGCTGACCACATCAAAGCGTTAAAGGCCCAGCTGATGTTGCATGGAGCCTTTGAGGGTCTGATATACAAATCCCTAGTGGCCACCCTCACAAGTCCAACCCTAACTTGGTATTCCTCTCTGTCTCCACGTTTCATAGCGTCGTGGGAGTAGCTGGAAACCCAATTCCGCTCATAATTCACGGCGAGCTAGAAGAACTTGAAAATCTCGGCCAGCCTTATGCAAGTACGGTAGAGGAAGACAGAATCTCTCAGAGACTACCTGGCGAGATTCAACAAAGAAGCACTACAGGTTAGAAACTTGAACCAGTCTGTGGCTATCACCACTATTCAACACGACCTTCGCCCCTCACCATTCAACTTCTCCATCTCCAAGAACCCTCCGCAGACCCTAACTATACTGATAAGCCATGCGCAAAAATACATCAATGCAGAAGAAGCACAAGCACAACTGCGGGATGAAGAAGAAAGGCCTGACAAGAAGAGGAGAGACACCGAGGAGCTGAAGTCAAAAAGATCAGATCGGGACCACCGACCTATCAGAACTTCACACCGTTGAATACACCCCGGTCTGAAGTTCTGATGCAAATTCGTGACCGCAGCTACATCCGGTTGCTCGAGAAGATGAAAACACAAGGCAACAAGAGGAACCACAACAAGTATTGTGAATTCCACAGGGACCACGGCCACGACACGGAGAACTGCTTTGACCTCCACAACCACATCGAGGACCTGATCAGGTGTGGGTACCTCAGTAGATTCATCAACAAAAATGAGAAGCTGGCATAAGAAGAACCGTGCGCAGAGAATGCTCGGTCGCTGCCTCGAGTTCCTCCTGTCGGTGTGATCCGTGTGATATCAGGAGGGATCACCGCAGGAGGGGAGAGCAACTCGGGGCGCAAAAAGTACATATGGATGTGCGAGATCGACAACCGGGGACACAAGATGAAGTGCAACCAATCAATCACTTTCACCGAAGACGACCCTCGAGGGGTTCGAACCCCACACTATGCTGCCTTGGTGATCATAGCCGAGGTTGCCAACTTCAAGATGTGGCGAATTATGGTTGATAAGGTAGCTCCACTAATGTGCTCTTCGAGGACGCATTCGAGAAGCTCGACATCGACAAAGAGCACCTCACCCCATCAACACTCCCCTGATGGGCTTCTTCAGGGAGTCCCTCTTGCCCACTAGGAGGATAACCCTTCCCCTCCTTATTGGAGACAGCGATAGCACTACGATGACCATGGTGAATTTCATTGTGGTCCGTTGCCCTCATCTTACAACGCCATCCTTGGCAGGCCGGCCCTTAATGCTCTATAGGCTACGGTCTCCACATTCCCACCGAGTACGACATAGGTGTAGCATGTAGAGACCAAAGAACTGCACGACAGTGCTATTTGCTCTCTTGCCAAGGACCGCGCTCGGCTGCGAAAACATTGATGGTTGAACCCTATGATCTGGAGATGAGGTGAAAACGCAGCGCAGCCAACCTATCGAAGACCTCATCCAGGTGCCGCTCAACAAGGAAGACCTCGAGGGGATGGTCCAGGTTGGCTCTCTCCTAGATGACCACCTCCGGGAAGAACGAGCGCAGCTGTTAAGGGATCACGCTAACGTGTTCACTTGGTCGGCGATAGATATGCCGGGGATTGACCCCGAAGTCATCACACACCGCTTGAATGCCGACCCTCACTACTGACCTATCAAGCATAAGAAGAGAAGCTTCGCTACAGAGTGGTGGCAAGTGATCACTAATGAGGTGCAAAAGTTGCTCGTCGTTGATGTCATTCAAGAAGTCAAATACCCCGACTGGCTAGCCAATGTGGTGATGATGGAGAAGGCCAATGGGAAGTAGAGGATATGCATCAACTTCACCGACCTAAACAAAGTTTGCCCCAAAGACAGCTTCCCTCTACCAAGGATCGACCAACTCGTCGATGCAACAGTAGGGCATGAACTCTTGAGTTTCATGGATGCCTTCTCGAGGTACAACCAGATTTGAATGCACCCTGATGACCAGGAGAAAATGGCTTTCATCACCGACTGTGGCCTATACTGCTACAAGGTGATGCCCTTCGGCCTTAAGAACGTCGGCGCTACCTATCAGCGGCTGGTGAATGTTCAAGGATCAACTCGGTCGAAATGTGGAAGCATATGTCAACGATATGCTCGTGAAAAGTAAGAAGGCCAAGCACCAACTTGCTGACCTAAAGGAAGTCTWCGGTACCCTCAAGAAATATAAGATGAAGTTGAACCCAACCAAATGTGCCTTCGGGGTTGGCTCCAGTAAATTCCTGGGGTTCATGGTGACATAGAGGGGGATTGAAGCCAA